TCTACCTGGTTTATTTGGATGAGCAGGTCTCCTTTAGGGACCCATGGACAGGTGCAGAGTCAAGGCGAGATTTTTTGTTTTGTTTTTTTAAGCTGAAAAGACTCAGAAGCTAGTATAGTGTCAGACACATAGCAAGTGTCCAGTAGGTGGAAGCTACTATCCATTTAGACCCAGGCCAAGCTCCCCTCCGCCCCCCAGCCCCACGCTTCTCCTTGGTCCCCTCTCCCCTAGGCACACGCTCAGCTAGTCTTCCCTTCTATAGTTTTGACTTCTTCCACCCACTGCTTGTTTCACCCCACATCCCACCCTTGATCATAAGTATGGCCATTTGTGGTCCATTCAACCATTCTACAGTCGAAGAGACTGGGGCTTCGAGAGGTGAAGCAACTTGCTCAGGGTCATACAATTAGTAAGTGGTTATCTGGTATTAGAACCTGAGCACCCTCCCTCTGGGGCTTGTTCTCTTCTCTGCACTCTTTGGCTCTACTGGTTATAAAGCAAATGGCCGGAAGTCAAAAGAGATCACACCTCTTGGCTTGGTTGTCTCCATATAGCAAGAAGCAAAGTCATCTGCCCAGAATGAGAGGACCAGGAACTGAAGGGGAGGCATAGAGACAGTGGTAAAGGTTGGAACTCAGTGAGGAGGTTGGGGGAGATGCTAACCAGGGACAAGTAAAGTATCCATCGAAGGCCTGGAACAGACAGGACACCTGTCATTCCCTGTGCGATAATTTGTAAGATTGTGATTTCTCTCCAGTAGCACAGAGTCGTTCAGGCTCTGATCTGAGAAGGCAGATTGCAGCAATGGTCCAGCATGGAGAGGAGAGAAGTGAGGGTCAGTTCTCTGTGAACTGTTGTCTGAGATGAGTGGAGAAGGCAGACAGGTCAGGAGGGGCTGGTGGAATGGGACGGAAGGAATACTCCCAGGGCTGGAGATGGCTATGCTGTTGAAGAGCAGGTGTCATCTGAGGGCAGTGGTACACCCAGGACAGACTGGAGGCTGTGCTCAGAGGGTGGGTGTATCACTTAGGGGCTTTCGGCTAAAATGTAAATTCAAATGGTATGAAACAATAAGGGCATTTATTATGGCATAGCTGCAAGTCCCAGCTAAGGAGGGTTTCAGGCTGGCTGAGAACAGGTCCAGTAATGTCTTTAAGGACCATTTCTTTACACTTTCATTCTTGGTGCTGATTTCATCCTCCTGCTGGTAGCAAGGCGGCTGCGTGAGTTCCAGGAGCTAAATAATGGAGGGGATGGTTTTTGATGACTTGCTCTTTGGAGCAAGGAACTTTCTCCCGGCAACCTTGCAGCAGTCTCCTTCATGTTCATTGGCCAGCGTTGGGTCACAACCTGGCCCCTGAGCCAGCCCTCAGACCTTAAGACCTCAGCCTAGCCCTGAAGCAAGAGGGGTGGACCGTCCCAGAGGCACGTACTGACGTGAGAGAGTGGCACCCAAACAGAGTCATCACTCTGTTAGGGAGGCAGAGGGTCCCCTGTAGTGAGATATTGGAGCTTGAGATGTTTGAGGTTCAAAACAAGCGAGATCCAGGCAGCAGGCTCGGCGGGGAGTGGGTGGCTGGAGCCAAGTGGTGACTAAGGTAACTAAAGTCAGGAAGGCCCAGAAACCACATGCTTAGTTTGCTTAGTTTTGGGAAGGATTGTTCACATGGATCTTGAAATCACCAAGAATTAAGGTGAGAGATGGTGAGGGTGGGATAGTGGGGGTGGAGAGAAGGACCCCATAAACAAGGCTACCAGGTCCTCAGTCAACAGTTGGGATGATGGAGACGTTGGTAGGCGACAGGACAAAAGGGAAGGAGGGGGACAGTCCTTCTTTTCCTTCTCCTATAAACCCAGTTGATCATAAGGGCCTTTTTTTGTAAGTCTTATGCCCACTGCACTGGTCCAGGTGCACACTTCTCCCCTGTGCTAGCCCAGCAGCTTCTAGACTGGTCTCCCCGCCTCCCCTTCACTCCCTCTACTCCCACTGTTTTCAACCTTAGCTGCACATTAGAATCACCTGGGGAGCTTTCAAAGCTCTTGACGCCCAGGCCACCGAGTAGTCCAATTAAATAAAAACCCCTGGGTGGGTTCCGGGTATTGGTACTTTTCAAAGCTCGTCAGATTATTTCAATATGCAGTCAAGGTTGGGACCACCGTTCTACCTCTCCACACCATCACTCGCTCAAAAGGCGGTTGGAGCAGGTCCCTCCGATTTGCACACACACTGTCATGATATAGAACACCAGGTGCTACCACACAGGTAGGCACCACGCGTTCAGGGTGACTCCCGACTTAGACCTGGGGAAGGCGAGGCTGCTCCTAACTGCAGCGTCTTCATCTCCACTTCACCTCAGCCTCCACGGCCAGCCAAGTCTACATCCTGGATCTTGCTTGTGTTTTGGACTGTTTTGCCTCAGAAATCTCAAACACTAACATCTAACATCTGTCAAAACTTCATTGTCTTAATATTGAGACAAAATCTAAATTTCTCAGAATGAAATACATATCGGGCCTTTCATGATATGGCTCCCATCTACCTTTCAGTTTCAACTCTGGCCACTTCCTCCTGGGTCCCCACAGTCCAGCCTCACATGTAACTTGCAGCCCCCTACGTGCACTGTACCCCCTCATGCTTCTGCACTTTTGCATATTCTGCTCTCTTTATCTGGAAGACACTTCCAGGACAACGATGGAGGAGCACATCCCAACTGAAGAAAATCATAGGAGGGGATGACAAAGCGTGGGCAGGTACAGGAAGCACCTTGCCCAGTCAGGCTGGCCGTCAGGCGGATCTAGGACAGTGGGTCTCTGTTAGCCTCAGAGTCCCTGGGAGAGCTTGTTAAACCACAAGGCGTGCTCCCACCCTCAGAGATTCTGTGTGATGGGGCTGAGGTGGCCGAGGGTCTCCACTTCTAACAAGCTCCCAAGTGATGCAGCAGCTGCTACTCCTGGACCAGACGCCGCGTAACAGGGGGAGGAACCACGAGAAGTGAGGCTGCCAGAGGGTGGACTTGGACCAACAATGGAGACATCAGTGTAGGACTGAAACAGGGATGGAGCTTCCATTTATTTACTCAACAACTATTGATTTATTGTGTACCTACTATATTTCTGACTCTGAAATGCCAAGAATAATGATAACATAGTTCCTGATCTCAAAAGGTTTTTAGCCTGATGGGAGAGGCAGAGAAACGAACAGATGGTCACAATATGTGGTGGTGAATCTCAGACAGAGGTGTGCATAGGTTGTGATGTAATCACCGATGGGGAGCTGCTCAGAAGCGATGACACCTGAGCGTGGCTGACTTCGAGCCGACAGCTGTGTGCCAAGTAGATGTGAAGGCCGGGCAGGCGCGGGTAGTGGTGAGACTGCGCTGTAACCGTCCAGGGACGGAAGGCGGTCCTCCTTTCACTCCAGGTCTCGGGCCCAGCTCCTCCACTAGACAGCGTGTCTCTGTACCAAGGCACCACCGGTTAGGGTCTTAGTTTTCCCACATGGTGAGAAGAGCAAACTCAGCAGCTCCTGTCTTTCATACCTGGAGCGTTAGATGAATGCTCTCACCTACAACATCTTCTAACTTGCACCATTCGGCCCAGTTTCTTCAGTCTCATGCTTAATATGTGTCTGTTGAAATGCTGATTGTAAATGATGACACTTTTGAAAAACCAAAACGACAGCATCTTGCTCAGTGCCTAACATATAGGGACTGTGCCACAACTGGCCCGGTGATAATTGCGAGTTGCTGGAGCACGGTCGTGACAGGGAAGCTTGCAAACCGGGGTTTTCATCTCAGCTCTGGCCCTCAGTGTGTGATCGTGGGAGAGGGCTTTTAAACCTCCTTAAATCCCAGTTTGCTCATTTATAAAACAGGGATAATAGCACCAACTCTGGAAGACTATTGTGAAGTTAAAGCCCTAGGTGGAAAAGGTCAATATGCACATGGTGGAGCCGGACCCTAACCCAGGTCTCCTGGCTGGTTCTGCGGGCTCTTTCCACTTCACTGACTCAAGGCATAGACAGACTCCAAGTGCCCACTCAGTGCCAGGTGCTGCGCTGCGCGCTGGCATTCAGTGGGGAGCTTCTCAAAACAAGCATCTCGCTTCTTTGCAGTTGAACTTCGCTTCTGGTAGTGCAAGGTAAATACAAATGTAGGAAAAAAATTGATTTTTCCCTGGTGCAAAAGGGAAAGAGACTCTCCTTTCCCTTTTCTTAGAGCATTTACTCTAGAAAACTTTGTCTTTTTGAGATATATGCAAATGTTTTTAAAAGCTAAATAGGCCTTTTGCCAGTTTTTACAACCCAGGAATGTTTTTTGCTCAAGGACCTGGGAGTCATCTCTTTGAAATGTTAGCATCAAGGAAGGCAGCGTTCCTATCTCCCAGTTTCCGTGGGAGGGTAGGAGCCTAACTTCCAGGGAGCACCTAGCTTCACGTTGCAAACCTACCTCCTGTGATAGACATGAGAAATTCATTTCTCCTTTAGATAGAGACAACAAGTAAACACAAACGGCCACTCCAATTACCAGATGAATTTAGGATGAACTGTGTGTGACAAATGGTGCTGTCCAGTCCTCTCACTTGAGAACGTGGACATAAGTGGTTGCACCTGCCTGGCTCTATAAAAGGGTGCGATTTCTTGCTGTCTGCAATCTCTTCAGCGGACTGCCTGTGACGCACATTACGTTCTGGTTTAACGCTTATTCAACACTTAAAACTGTTTTCTGTCTCTTCTACTCCTGAGGAGAGTTTCGTTGGGCTGGCAGAAATTTTTTTTTGCACACTTCCCAACAGTAGAAACGGGCCTGGTTGGAACGGGCTTTGGGAGAATTTGGACAACCCCAACGACAAGAGTAAGCGCTGCCCGCCACCCGCCGTGGTTGCAGCATATGCGGGCCGCGCACCTGCCTGCCCCAGCGCAGACGTCCTGACCTCCCACACTCTCCCGCATCCCTATTTTTAGCCGCCGCAGCCAGCCAGGTCACGTGACGGGACGGCGGGCGGTGCCTGCGAGCGCCCCGCCCCCGCCGCGCCGGGGAGGTGGAGCATGAGCGCACGTGTTAGGACCCGTGGAGCCCGCGCCCTGTGCCCGGCGGCGATGAAGATCTGGAGCTCGGAGCACGTGTTCGGGTGAGGCCGGGCTGCGGGCCGCTGTGGGGTCCGGACCGGCGCCAGCTCCTGTCCTCGAGCCGCCGGGGGCCGCCTGGGAAAGGCCGGACCCCAGACCCGGCCCTCGCAGAGCCCGCGCAGCCTGGCGCTGGCCTATCCCAGACCGCAGCCTCGGCATCCTAAAAAGAGGGGCAGGCCCCCTGTCCCTTCTAGGGCGTCGTTAGGTAGAGAGACCGCGGAGCCGCGCAGAGCTGTTTGACGGAGACGCCGCCGGGGTGGGATTGCTGAAGCGGGGCGGCGGCAGGGCGGGGGTCGGCCTTTGGGGCCGGGGGAGGGCCGAGCTGCGGGATGGTTGGCAGCTAGCCGCGTGGGGCCGGACGGCGCGGGCAGGAGAGCGCCTTCCGCGGCGTGACGCCCCTGGTGTGCTTGGAGGCCGGGGTGGACGCGGTGGGGAGGGGACCCGGCAGAGTGACAATGCGCACTCCTCAGCCCACCCAGGAGCAGGCCTAATCTCGCCTACATACTGCTCTCTTTTGGGTCAGGGGGCGAGGGGTGCTAGGGAGAGCAGAGGCCTAAAGAGCTGGCCGGGTCTTTTGCTGAGAGTATGCGGGGCAGCTGATCCCAAACATGTAGTGTGTTTTATGAATGAAGGGTGCACAGCGGCCCATGAGCTCAGGAGGAAGCCAAGTGTAGAGAAGGCATTTGGGGGGCTTTCGCCTGAATGCATTGTGGGCATGGAAGGCCTTCAAGTCTGCATGGAGAACTGCGAACTCTTTGAAAGTACCCTCGTGACATAAGTGGTATCTTCATCTTAAGTCGCTGATCTGTGACATTCTGAAATCATTCTTTAATATTTTTTAAAGGAACAAAGATTTTTAAATTCCCTGACCCTACTTAGAGAAGCATTTCATTTTTGGAAAAAAACAACAGTACTGCATGAAATAGAATTGTCATTCTTTGGCCTTTATAATGTAAAATGAAAATAAAAATTTTATCAAGTAGTTGAAAACTTCTGAAATTATTTTGAATGAAATCTTTAAACTCGATGGGATCCAACTTTAGTATTGATTTTTTGTACAGCCTGCAGGCTTTCTCAGCTGGGGTTCCTTGAGAGACCCAGTGAAAGCCCCAGAAAGAATGACTCCAGGGATTCTTTTCTCAATTCTCCCAAGGATGGGGTGTGACTGGCACCATCTAGATGCAGAGGGGGGAAGTTAAGTCATTGTATACCATAGATGCCCAGGCAGTGGGGCTCAGTTTTCTCGCGGAACAGTTGAGGAGGACTGCTGTAGAGGTTCGTGAAATGCTGGTTGACAAGCAGAAGTGAATTGTCAGCTGTGAAAAGTCACTATTGATAAAATCCACCCATTTAAAGTGTACAATTCAAAGATTTTTAATAAATTTACAGAATTGTACAACCATCACCTAGTCCAATTTTAGAACATTTCCATCAGCTTACAAAGACCAGTCATGCCCCTTTACAGTCACTCTCCACTCCCAGCCCCAGTCCCAGGCAGCTGCTGATCTTCTCTTTCTATAGATTTGCCTTTTCTGGACATTTCATATAAATGTAATCATACAATATGTGGTCTTTGGTGTCTGGCTTCTTTCACTTAGCATAGTTTTTTGAGGTTCGCCCATGTGATAGCCTGTATCAGTACTTGATTCCTTACCTCACTCATTTTATACCCCTGGCACACAGTAGGTGGTCAGTGAGGGGCTGAGGAATCTCGTGCAGACCAGATGCCCTTCCAGAATGAGGGCACTATCTGCCAGAGGAATTCAGTCAACCCCTAAGCTGCTGTGGACTGGGCTGATCCCTTGTCATTGATTTTTGAACTTAAAAGCAAAGGGCCATAATGAAAATTAACAAATGTGGAATGCAGCTGGCTGAGGTTAATGTCCAGTAGGCCCCTGTGGCCAACAGGTCGAGAAGGACATAATACTGTGTGGTGGCCTAGCATCATAGGAGAGTACAAAATTGGAAGCCTGGCTTTCTGGCTGGGCTTGCTGTGGAGTTTTCCCCTTGCTTAGTCCAGTGAAATCCCTGTTTTGTTTTGTTTTGTTTTTTCCTTTGAGGATTCTAGACCTTTCTTTTTCTTTCTATATAGTACTTGTTTTCTTTTTATATGTTTGGTTGTACTGTCAGGTGAATATTTGATTGGAAGTTAAATTTACTCTTGAAAGGCAAGAAATAATTAGGCACAAAAACTTTTGATGTTATCAAGTTTTCTTTCTGTATCTATATCCCAAAGAAACCCCAGGGGCTGGAGATCAGGCACAGCAGAGAGCAATATAAACACTCCTACAGAAACGGAGAGCCTTTTGGGAAAGCCATCTGATTTAGTGTGTGTTGCCTAGAGAGGGTTTAAAATAGTTTAAATAGTAATGAAAAATATAGGACTGAAATACAAAATATAGAAAGGGGTGTTTAAAAATTAGCAGGTTTATAAGTTTCATCCTCACAGCATTCACTGAGGTTTCAGATCTATGACAAAATCTTCAATAACAGAGCCAACACAAGTAGATTTCTGGCAGAGAGTCAAGGCTGGACACTCCTTGGATTCCAGCAGCTACCAGGAAAGGTCTCTAGTAGGCGATGCCCGTTTCAGGAAAGTAGGGTTTGGAGGAGATGATGCCCTGAGGCAGGCTTGCGTTCTAGCTGGGAGCAGGGAAGAGACCACCGCCCCAACCTTTTTTTAAAATAAGATACATTGAACATTACAGATAAGAGTTGAAGTGCCTGTTCTCTCCTCCCCAGTGCTGTTCCCCTCCTTCTCCCCCATAGGCAGACACGATCATGAATTTGGGGATCATGAATTTGGTGTATGTTCCAAAGGTCTGTCTGGCAACATTGATGTCTGTCTGTGTGTTTATCCATAAATAATATGTACTGTCGTTTGCTGTTTTAAAATAGAAATCAATGGCATTATCTTGTACAGATATTTTGACAGTTTCCTTTTCTTCTCAACAGTGTGTTTTTGAGATCTACCTATACACACACACACCTATGTATGTATATCATAGCTGTATAATATTCCATTGAATGACTCTGTTGCAATTTACCCTTCTTTTATTGAATGGACATTAAGTTTCCCCCCTTATTACAAATCACACTGCAGTGACCACCCCTGTGTATATTTCTGGTCCACTTAATCAAAGGCCCACTTAGGTCAGCAGTTCTCAAAGTCTTCAGCCTCAGGACCTCTTTACACTCTTAGAAAATACTGGGGACCTCAAACAGTTTTTGTTTATGTGGGTTATATCTACCAGTATTTACCATATTAGAAATTAAAACTGATAAATTTAAAAATATTAATTCATTAAAATTAATAATGAACCCATTAGGTTACATTACATTAAATTTCTTTATTAAAAACCTATATTTTCCAAAACCCCCCAAATTAGTAAGAAGAATGGTACTGTTTTACCTTTTTTTTTTTGCTAATTTCTATAATGTCTGGCCTAATAGGAGACAGTTTGATATAGATGTCTGCTGCTGCATTCAGGGTTTGCACTCTGTTGTTTTGGTTGAAGTACATGAGGAAAAGCCAGCCTCACACAGTATGTGAATAAAACCCAATTGGAAAAGGCAGGAATATTTTAATAGTCTTTTTTTTTTTTTAAAGATTTTTTTTTTATTTTTTTTTATTTTAATAGTCTTTTAAAATAATTATGGCAATTCTCTGCTGCTACTACTACAACAAAACAAGTGGTAGTTTCGCGAATTAGTTGCCGCGTAAAATCTGAAACCGTGATGACCGGAGTCACTGGCCTGTCGTGTACTTTGGATGAGTCTTTTACCCCTGGATGATTTTGTGATGTCCTGTGTTGGTCATTTGGAATGTATGGGTTCACCAGGTGACAGTATGGGGCAGTCATCAGGCTCGTGGTAGTGGATACAAGTTTTCTAAAATTCTGATTTTCACTTGAAAGCTCAAATTCTATCTTTGGCAGCAAATACTGTCAGTTGTTTTCCGTGAAGTGATAGGGTCACTTCATAAAGTTTTGAGAAAATGTCTGCGAAATACTCAAGTCTGAATGACCAAAGTTTGTCGTCAGTTGTTTCAAGTAGAAGTGGTGGGTGGAGGCAAGAAGCAGGGGGGTGGGCTCACCACCCCAACAGCTGCCCGCGCTTCCCGCCCACCGTGCACCTGCAGGCACAGCAGAAGCGCCTCGGGCGTGCTTGCTGTGCCCTCGCTCCGAGTGTTAACAGGAGAGCCCTCGGGGTCCTGGTGTAATTTTACAGTTTCAACACGGATAGTCTTGAGAGACACAGGCAGGCGGTTCTCCTGCGTGCACAGCAGGGAGCAGTGGCCACGAGTATGGCTTGGGCCCCTGGCCTTAATTCGTGGGGCGAGGCCAGCAGTTTTCCCCTCTGCAGCTTCTGCAGCATCAGTGTAAATGTCAACACGGGGAAAACGGCGCATCGTGTCTTCCCAGCGCTGTGCACCAGTTTCGGCCTCACGGACCTCCTGAAAGGGCGTGGGAGCCCCGGTGTGTGTGGACCCCATCCAGAGAACCGCTGGTCTGGGCCTAGAGTCACTTTGAGTAGGTGCAGGAGCGCTTTGCCTTGTCTGTGGCTGCCTTCATCTTTTTTTTTTTTTTTTTAACTTGTTATTATGGACGTTTAAAAAATATGTAAAAGTGGACAGACTAGAATAATGAGCACCCAGCGCCATCTCCCAGGTTGACAGTCACCGTCTTGCAGTCTGGTTTCATGTGTCCCCACCCACTGCTCCTCCACCCCCCCGGATTATTTTAGGCCAATCCCAGACATACTGTAATTTCATCTCACTTCTTCGTTGTGACACCCTCACTGTATGTAGAGGGATGCCTTTGTTATTCCGTTCCACTCCCAGTGTGGGATCCCCGGTGAATCCTCTCACCTCCCGGCACTGTGCTCCTGGCCAGCCGCCCTGGGGACGGGTTCAGATGCCACCGTGGTCACCGTGAGCCGTGGTCGGGGACCGCTCCTCCTGAGGATAAACTTGAGCAAATTCCTTGCCTGCCTAACCCAGGCAGCTGAGAACCCTGCCTGACACGCCGGTGGCGTCTGCTGGATTCTCTCGGTAAACTGCTCTCTCGGGGACTTTGCTGGTTTCTGTGTCCACCAGCAGTTCATGTCTCCCTGTTCTCCACATCTTCTCTGACACTTGATGCTCCCCGACTTTTCAGCTTGTGCTAATCAAATGAGTGTCCGGCTATTTTCTTTAACCAAGAAGTGTGTGATACTGACTTGCTGTACTTAAATCTTGTTATTTAAGAAATATTATTATGTTTACCCTTTTCCTCCATTGTTGATGTCTATATTAATTTGTGTGGTCATCCTGCTATCACTAGTGGAATTATTTATGTGAGTATTTTAAGCAAGTTGTATTTAAAGTCATCAGCTAGAAAGATGCAAGGTTTCTATATAAAAGAAACATTATTGTTTGAGATATGCTTAATACAAATATTTCTCAACTTTTAGATAGTTTTAAGTAATTTTAGAAGGCGTAGCCTATTCTGCTTAAAGTAATGATTTTTATGGGAACAGCTCTTAGAAACTTGACTTACAAAGCTCGCAGATTATTTCATTGAGAAGACCCCCCTGTATAACTAAGACTGTTTCTGCATTCATGTATCTCGAGATTCTCCTTCCTTCCCCAGATCTTGGATCAGCCATGTCCCTGACAGTTCTTCTTTGGAGAAGTAAGGGCTCACTCTCTGTAACCTACAGTGATTGAGACCAACCAAAATTCTGCTTCTTCATCCCTTTATGTTAAAGCTAGTGGATGCATTAACTTAGTGACATGATTCCATGGTTTAAAAAAACGTTTCTTTGTTAAAGAAGGGATTCTAGACCAGGCCTTGACAATTTAGAGGCCGTGGAATATACAGTCATGTGCCGCATAACGACGTTTCAGTCAATGATGGACCACATATATGAAGGTGGTTCCATAAGATTGGTACCATACAGCCTGGGTGTGTAGCAGGCTATACCATCTAGGTTTGTGTAAATACACTCTATGATGTTCGCACAACATTGAAATCGCCTAAAGATGCATTTCTCAGAATGTATCCCTGTCGTTAAGTGACATAGGGTAGGAAAGAACATAGGGTAGGGAGCTGGGAGACCCGGTTCTAGTCTGGGCCCTGCTACTAACTTTTTGACCTGGGACCAGAGTTTTATGAGGATAAAGTAAATTAATAGTCAAGAAATTATATTAAAAAAGGACATCAAATATGGAAAAAAACCTTCAATATGTCCATAATCTTTGATATTTGATTTAGTAATTCCATTTCTAGGAATTTACCCTAAGGAAAAATTAGACACATTGAATGACTAGTGTACGCAAAGGTTCACTAGTATTTCACAGTGCAAAATTGGAAGCAATCTAAGTAGCCTACTATAGAGGACTGGTTAAATATAAATATCGACAGGATGACCTATTGAGCAGCAATTTATAATCGTATTTCTGAAAGTAGCTTCATGATATAGGAAAATGTTCATCATCAGTTACATACAAAAAACAGATGATAAGCCATGTACTGAGCATGATCCCAGTTTAATTTTTTAAAAAGTGTGTGCGTGCGTGTGCATGCATCTGTGTGTCTACGTCTTGAGTCTGGGCTGTGTCTGCACATGCTGTTCAAACATGTCTGGGTACATCTGGAAAAATGATGGTGTTGTGGAAACATAGGTATCTTTACAGGGCTCAGATGCTACCTGGGAGTGTGCACATCCTAAAGAAAGGAGGAATTAAGACAATAAGTGTTCTGGGGGAAGGTCCATCCTGAATACACCACTATAGCACCTCTGACTTGGCTCCCACCAGACTCGCATCTGAACCCTCTGGACAGCCATAGGGTTTTGAGCCTAAACAAGCACAGAGCTCTGGAAAGCAACAGGGCAGCTGTATACCTGGCTTGGGACCTCTCCTCTCTGATGGCAGGAAACAAAACAGGGACAAAGGCCTCCAGCCCCTCACCCTCACCTCAAGGGCTCAAGGCCAAAGAAGGAGCCGTGGCCTCCTGCAGGAGAGACCTTGGGAGATGGGGGCACCCTCGGAGACTCCCACACAGACTCTGGTTACCTTTGGATAGTGGAATTGTGGATGCTTTTAATTTTCTTCATACTTTTCTTTATTTTTCAAAAATTTGAACACATTTTTTACAGTCAGAAAAAATATGTGATCACTTCAAGTCACATACCACTTAGAAGTTGGAACAAAGTAGTTGCTTCTCGATAGAACATCAGTACCTGAGAACAGTAGCCTGTTCTGGATGTGTATAAGGCGGATGTGTATAAGGCAGATATGTTCTTCTGTTTTAATAGTGTCGAGCTGCCAGGTGTCGAGGTGATCAGTTAGGACAAGGAGCCCAACTGGAAGTCACAGCCAAGCCTTATTCACTGCAACAGTGCTGGCCCGAGGCAAAAATAGGCGCTGACCCCCAGGGTTCCCTCCTCCCCATGGAACAGCACAGGGAGGGCAGGGGACCAGCAGGGTATGGGGAGAACTGTCTCACCGCCAGAGCCCCAAACAAAAGCGTTCTTCCTCTTTATGGACTGGAGGGAGGGTGGGGACCGAGGAGGAAGTGCTAGGACAGGAAAAGTGCTGAGCCAGAGGGGCAGAAGGTGCCTCAGCTGAGGCCTGGGGAGGAGGCCTCTGAGCAGAGGTGCCTGGGCCAGGAATGCAGATGTGTCTGGGCATGGCTGGCCGGGGACTTGAGTCCTCGTCTGTGCCCCAAACCCTGCTGTGAGGCCTGCCAGCAGAGTCTTCTCATTGCCTCTGGTCAGCCCAGAAGGATCACAGGATCCAGGATTTTGCTCTGGAGACCTAAAGAAAAACCTTTCAATAACAGCGTGAACATTGATTTTCATTTCACTCTGGGACGCAGCGTCTCTGGCTCCCCTGGGCCACTCTGGCACATTTTGCAAATCGTAGGCATTGCCTGCTTATGCTGGCTGATTGTATTTTTCCCGCCAGCCACCCATGGGACACGGTCATCAAGGCTGCTATGAGGAAGTACCCGAATCCGATGAACCCTGGTGTTGTGGGAGTCGATGTGCTGGAGCGCAGTGTGGATGGCCGCGGCCGGCTTCACAGCCACCGCCTCCTCAGCACCGAGTGGGGGCTGCCTGGCCTCGTGAAAGCGGTGAGCCCGTGACTGTTGCCCTGCTGTTTTATTTTTTGTCTAAGCATTTATTACTGCCATACACTCGGCTCGCTTTGCATTCATTCGTTTGTTTGATGTCTGTCCCGCCTGCTGGAACAGGAGCCCCCTGAAAGAGCTGTACAGGGCTGTACATTGCGGCATCCCCAGTTGTATCAGTTGTTGACTAGATAAGTGAATTAATTAGTAAATGAAATGGCATTTTATGTTCCATGATACAAAATGAAATTTTTAACACGTCACTATGCTAGTTTTGCTTTGTTTTTTAGATTTTGGGAACCAGTAGGACTTTGACATACATCAAAGAACATTCTGTTGTGGATCCAGTGGAAAAGAAAATGGAACTTTGTTCCACCAATGTAAGCAATGGCCTAAGATGAGAAAGATCCTTGGTATTTCTTGGTGATGGTGCGTAATGTCTTCATTTAATTTTATTTCCAGACCACCTTTGGTCTAAGTGATCTTCTCTTTTTAATAGAAAGCCTGAATTCATTTAGTAGTATTTTATTTATCTTTTTATTCCAGTATAATAAATTTATAGAAAAATGCTGAATAATGATGCAGATCAGGAGACAGAATGTGACCAGCCCTCAGAAGCCCCCCTTGTGCTCCTTTTCAGTACCCCTCTCCCAGGATAACTGCTCTCCTGACTTCCAACAGCCAAGATGATTTTTAAAAATAATTTTATTTATTTATTTTTAATTTTATTTATTTATTTTTTTTCCCCCAAAGCCCCAGTAGATAGTTGTATGTCATAGCTGCACATCCTTCTAGTTGCTGTATGTGGGACGCGGCCTCAGCATGGCCGGAGAAGCGGTGCGTCGGTGCGCGCCCGGGACACGAACCTGGGCCACCAGCAGCGGAGCGTGTGCACTTAACCGCTAAGCCACGGGGCCGGCCCTAAAAATAATTTTAAAAGTGACGTTTCTCCTTCACTCCTCTCTCATTTCTCTCAATTAAAAAAATTTACAATGGCCTAATGCAAATTCAAAGAACATATTGGGGAAAATGCATGGGCTAGGAACATGGTTTATTTGATAAAATCTCACTCTGCAGACCGTGTCATAGTGTGCTGGAAGATTAGGTTCTGAACTGCTGCAGTGCTTGGTGTACCATCTGGGACCTTTGCCGATGGCCCCATTCCCTCGTCCCAGGCAACGCTTCTGCATAAAGTTACAGGGAATCTGGCAGGGGACCTCCCATTGGCCATTCCTGACAATTTATGTATTCTGTTCCCTCTTCTTCTTTACTTAGAAAATTCCACTTCATTCTTCAAAAAAGCTTAGTTGTCAGTAAAGAGGGACGGTTCATGCTCCAGTGAGGGCTAGTGGGAAGGGCATGGGGTTTGGAGTAGGACAGACGGTGCCTGTATCCTGCAACTATCACCCAATGGCTGGATGACGTTGTGTATGTTAGTTATTAACCTTTTCTGAGTATTACATTCCATGTCTAAAAAAAGAAAGAGCAAACCTCATAGTATTGTTTTGAGGATTAATGAAGGGAAATAGGGTTTATAAAATACAGTGTCTGGCATAAACATAGTGCACATAAAATGATAATAGCTAATCAGAGTTTAATTGTTAATGTTGTTAAGTATTTCCATGCGTTTGTAATAACTGTAACTAATGAGACTCTTTTGATAACTCTGTGCTCAATCGGAGGAAAGGATTTCCCAGCCAACCACTTTGCTGGAACAGTGAGGCTGGGGGAGGAGTTCAGTGAGTGATTATTGCGTGAGAAAAAATAAGTGCTTTAAGTTTATCATTGCTGGAAGGTTATATTGCTTTTGACTACTTAAACTCTAAAAAATAGTCTATATTGGAATTGCTCTTTGTTAAGAGGGTAAATTGTGTTAAACAATGATAAAATTCTAGAGCTCCATTGTCCATTGTGGCAGCCACGTGTGGCTATTTCAATTTAAATGAGTTAGGATTAAATAAAATAAAAAATTCAGTTCCTCAGTCACACTAGCCACGTTTCAAGTTCATTTAGTCTCACGTGTTTAGTAGCTTCCGTAATAGGTGGCACAGATATAGGACATTTCTGTTATCACAGAAAATTCTTTCGGGTAGTGCTGTTCTAGAGCTCCAGTTTTTAAATAGGTTTTAATGAAAAATACTAAGAATGTCCATGAGAGGCGAGTTGGTTTGTAGGAAGGAGCACTGGAGGAGACAAGATCTACACAACCTTGCTCTCACGGTCTGTATAGATTCAGAGTTCTGCCCTGTGAAACCCAACAACATAGTGTCCCAAAGCCAGGGTTTGCACCAGCGGGTGGGAAGCTTCTTGCTCGTTTACCTGGAAGCTAACCCAGGGATATTGTCCTTTTCTATAACTGCTTATGGTTTGGCAGTTTGAAAGTACCTTGAAGGCCAGGCCTGGCTCAGGTTTGGGTGGGGTTTGGAGAGAGGGCAGTGACAGTCGCCAGAAGGAGCAGCCAGGACACAGTTTCCTTGGGACTTAATGTGGTAGTGTGTCCTGGGCCTAAATGTTTCTTCTGTTCAGGCTCCAGTAAGTGCTGATTTGGGGCTGGAAGAGTCTGGGCAGATGGTTTGGGAAGAAATGCAAGAGAAGCAGAACCTAAAGCCATTGTTTCTTCTTTTAAGATCACACTCACAAACTTTGTATCGGTGAACGAGAGGTTGGTGTACACACCCCATCCGGAGAACCCTGCCATGTAAGTGGTGGTGTCCTGGCATGGGCATGTTGAACTCCAAGGTTAGGGCGGGGTGGAACCTCCCTTCTCTCAGGACTACTCACCCCTTTGCTTCTTGCTCTTCTGTAGGACCGTGCTCAAACAAGAAGCCATCATCACCGTGAAGGGGATCAGCCTCGGCAGCTATCTGGAAAGTTTAATGGCCAACACAATATCATCCAATGCAAAGAAGGTATGCATCTCAGTCCTGGGCCTTGTGTGTTCTAGCTGTTAAGTGGTAGCTTGAGTGGGTTAAATGCATAGTCCCCTAAGTCCTATGAGTGCTGGGGCCCTCCGTCTCTAGCTGAGCTCCTAATGCCACAGCATGATCCACAGTTACATTCAAAAGCGGCAGCAGGGAAGGCTGGCCCAGGTCTGAGGGGAAAGCGCGGGGTGAACATGGAACATAAACCCAGCCAAGGCAACTACCACTTCAGAGAGCCAAAATGGGGTAGGCTCAGTTAATAAACAAATCCCACACTTCAAAAAGACAATGCGTTGACGTTGTCAGGCAGGATATTCGGGATTTTTAGTAGTTTGATATTTAATAGATGTTAAGTGGCTTTGGCCAAACCTCTCCATCTGTGGAGTTTCCCTGGAGTCAGCTGCCATCTTTGCATCTCCCTCTGACAGGCTCTGAGAGTGAGCTTTGTGGAGGTGAGAGGAGAAGGGATGGATCCCAGGAGGCTGTCCTCCCCGGCGTTCCTGGGGAGAGAGCTCAGCCTTAGTGAGGCAGAGACTGTTCACGGAGTCCAGCTTGCCTTCCTCTCCAGAAGAGGTGATGGAAAGAGCTTGGGTGTGTGGAAGGATGATGTTATACAAGTTCAAGGTAATGTTAGTCGCCAGCGCAGGGCCTTTGCATTTTACCTTAGCTTACCTTACAGGCCCACGTCTTCCCCTCAGCTCTCCTCTCCTCCTCCTTTCTCTCCGTTTTTTTTTTTGGTCAGAAGTGATTCTTGGGGCCGGCCCCGTGGCATAGCGGTTAAGTGCGTGCGCTCCGCTGCTGGCAGCCTGGGGTCCGGATCCTGGGCGCGCACTGATGCACTGCTTGTCAGGCCATGCTGTGGCGGCATCCCACATAAAGTGGAGGAAGATGGGCACGGATGTTAGCTCATGGCCAGTCTTCCTCAGCAAAAAGAGGAGGATTGGCATGGATGTTAGCTCAGGGCTGATCTTTCTCAGCTGGGATGCTGCCTGAGCTGTACTTCCCTCCCTATCATACCTAAGTCACAGCTTAGTGGAAAACCACTGAGGGCTTGCATTTCGTCTGGTCACTAATAGAAGAACCAATCTGCCCTATTTTTTAGAAAAATCCAGATTTGGAAACATTGGTAGTAGCTTAGCTCAGTTCAGGAAGGTAGGGGAACTGCGGCGCCCAGAGCTGCACACGTCATGTCCTCACTGTGAGCCCTTACTAACCTTTGTGTGTCCAGTGTCTGGCTTAGGGTAGGCACCCTAAATGTTTGCAGAGAAAAAGAATTATAGAAGGAAGGGAATACTCGGTAAGGCCAAAGCCACCTCAAGGGAAACTCAGTGGGGCCAGATAAAAGTCTTCTGTATCACTTCCTCTTAGGGATTGCTCTGTTGAAGGCCTCATAGAGATCTCCTGCCTCCCCTAGCTATAGTTACCATTTGACAGCATCCCCGCTCAGCTGGGGAGATGCCTGGGACAGCTAGTGGCCTGAGAGCGGGGACAGGAGATGGACATGGAGATGGAGAGGCAGGTCATCCTGGGACTTGGGTGGGACGACTCATTGAGGAGGCTATGAGGATAGCTGTCGCTTCCCCCTCGTCCTGCACTCAGGAGGTGAGGGTGAGGGTGAGGGGTGCCTGAGTCGGTACACCCCAAGCTAGTAGTTTAGGCAGAATATATACCACCTTGTTTCTGAGCTTGAGAAACCGCCTGCTTACAGTGAAAGATTGTTCATGAATGGTTACTGCTGTGTCTCCCTTCAAACGGCAGCATTTCCCTTCTGCTATTTAAATTACAGGCTATAGCTTGCTGTCTGCGGTGAGTGAGGCAGAATTTCTTATGCCACGTTGAAATCTTTCTGTGTTGCTCCAGGGGTGGGCTGCTATTGAGTGGATAATTGAGAATTCTGAGAGCGCTGTGAGCTAACGGGGTCTGCACCTGCACCTGAACGGTGGTAACTACAGTGTTCTTTAACCTGGTGGAGAATTGAGTATCTTGCTAACCGTGTGCATGGTGTGCGGTGCTGGGAGGGTGTTTAAAAGATGCAGCCGCTTGTGTCTCTAGCCCTGCGCTCCTTAGTATCTTCTGTAGTGGAAAAAAATCCCTAGGTTCATCCTCGTCCTAATTCATCTCCCTGTTTCATGGCAGGATTTATTGTCAAGGGAAACTTGAACATTCATTATCTGGTCTCTAATGCAGGCAGTTCAGCTTCTCCTGCCAGCTGTTCTCAGCGCTTGGCTGCCTGAACATTTCCTATAACTTGTGCATCATTAGGAAGGAGGCTTTCATTAGGTGGTCCAGACAGTGTTAAAGGCTGATCTGATGGGAGGACTTTTTCATTTTGGGTAGGATTTGAATATTTGCACGTTCTTATAAAGAACGCTCTGTGCCCTTGCGCCCACACTGCAGCGAGGAGGTCAGCTTGCCTCCTTGCCTCCTGCGGGCCAGCCACGCAACTGCCAATGGCCGTTTTCTTTTAGTGGTGAAAGCCATTTCTAGCGTCATCTTGAGCTTCTCAAACATTCCTTGGGTTTCCTGGGCCACCAGTGGCTGGACTGTCAGAAACGGACTTGACACTTAATTGGTCAGCAGTCGTCTTCATTCCTCGTAGGAAAGGCAGAGTTTCCTGCTTCCCGTGTTTAGGGAAACCTTGTACTCCTGCCTTGAAATTCCTCACCCTGTTAACTTTCCACGCTGTACTGCTCCGGGCCCTGCTTTCCCCGGTCTGTCTGTCTGTCTGCAGCATGTGTGTACAAACTCGGTGCCTCAGTCAGCAAATGAGAGCCAGGTGGTTCAGGCTTCTTTAAGACTTCTTGCTGGTTTTGCTTAAGTCACTGAACCTTAGGTTTGCCAGAGACCTTCACCTTGAACCCAAGGTCATGATCTGCCACTGGGTCTCTCGTCTTCCATGGATGCACCACTAAGGTGACCACAGGTAGAGAGCATAGTGTGTGGGGGCAGTGTGGTGTGTGTGATGCTGTCATTTTGAGTTGAGGACTCTGTCACATTTTGTTTCCTCGTAAAGTAGAGCTAAACTGCCTCAATCTTTAATCAGATGCCTCACCCAAAAAATCAAAGAAGAAAGAAAGAAAGAAAACAAATGAATGAACGAAAGAAAGAAAGCAGAGAAAGGAAGGAAGGAAGAATCGCGTCCTGAGTATGGTTTACTGGCCCAGTCTGGGAGAGGTGTGGAATCTGCTGGAATCTTCCTCCTGCCCAGTCACAGCCTCTGCCAGGCTCCTCCGTCGTGACCTCACAGGACAGGAGGCCTGGCCAAGGCAGAGTTCTCGTCTGTTGCTGAGAGAGACTCGGTGGTACGAGGAGGACAAGGGCTGCAAAGCCCTGCCTGTCCCCTGACCGCTGAGCCAGGGGGTGGGAAGTGGCCCTGCCCGCAACCCAGCAACCCCCTGGCCCTGGCCCATGCCAGTGTTTCCTCGGGCTGTTCTTGTGCTTTGTCTATTGCCCCACTAGCCGCAGCTCCCAGCTCTTTCCTGCCAACTCTTGGGATCTTACTAAACAGCTTTTCTCTTTTCAGATGACTCCCCACTCCCACCCCCCCATTGCCCGCATGTGCCCCTTACTCAACAGTCTTCACTGCCAGTCTCTTCACCCACATCTGGCTACCATCTGTCACCTCAGGTGCTGTCGCCGTGTGTCCTTCTCTTCCCCTCATCACTTTGTGCAGATCTGCACACACGCCAAATTGGGCAGATTTCCTGGTTGCGGCTAGAAATCCAATTAATGGGACGTTAATATGGTTGAGGTTGAAGAGTACAGGCGTCCACCCCTCTGGTGACACATGTGGTTGACAGTACAGTGAGCTCTCCAGTCAGAGACAGTTAGAATGGTCTGGAGTAAAGCCCTCTGCCCTCAGGCTGCGGCTCCTATGTCCTGCGGGTCTAAGACCAGCGACCCCGAGGGCTGAAGGCCTGTGTCACTTCTCCCCATTCAGACGTGTCCGCAGGGGGCTTATTCACACAGAGCCAGTGTTAGGAGGTGGCACATGAGTTTAAGCCTTCCTGTTAGCTCTGAGGTACTTCCAATTGGGAGTTTTAACTTTCCCATTTTCAAAAGTAAAATGTAAAATCTCGTTCAGTATGTTTCAAATTATAAAAACTTTAGAGAAGGCCTCCTCCATAAAGGATGGGTAGAACTGTATTCTAATGTTTTTCAGATATTGCTTTTTGTTTGATAGGAATACTTGTAATCTAAAATGGAATTAAATTCATTTATATATTTACGGAATATTTTATGCACATAGCTTTAAGGTAAAATAGAGTTAAAAGATTTATGGCAAAAAAAAAAAAAATCCCTCTCACTCCTGCAAAGCATGCTTTTGCCCTTCTGAGGGGCCTCAAGTCTTTTGGCAGTTTCTGGCTTACTGCTAGGTTTCTAAATAAATAAGGATATTCTGCTATTTCTTGATTTAACAGTTTTAGACGTTATCTGCTGACTTCCTGTTGTGGTAGATTATTATTTTCTCTCTCTTACATCTTTTTTCCCTCCCCCAATTCCCCAATATAACTATATTTTAATTTATGGTTAAAAGCACGTTCAGAGTTTCCATAAGTTTGCAAATACATAACTATGTTTATTACCCATTGAAACAATATACAGTAATTACATTTTCTTTCTCATATAACTGTTTTTTTCCCTTGAAGGTAATAATTATCTTATTCTTTTCATCAATTTAATTTTATTTTTTAAAAGTCTCTGGCTGAGTCTTTCCACACTCTTCACCGATTCTCTACGGTACCTTGTAACATCATTGTCTAGAGGTCAAAACTTTCTGGTAGCACACCCCTTTCTAGTTTCCCTGGCACCATCCTTCCTGGAAGCCAGGACTCGCTCTCGTCTGGCTGAGCAGCTGTGTGGCTGTCATCTTTCCTGGGCACATCCTCGGCCCTTCTCCTCTCCTGGACCCCTTGTCTCCTGGGTTCCCTGCCTTCCTCTTTCTCTTTCCTACCACAGGATAGGGAAGTACATCTTGTAGTAGCTTCTAAGACTTGGCACATCTGAAAATGTCTCTTCTATTCTTGCGCTTCATTCCTAGCTTGGCTGGACATATAATTCTAGACAAAAAATATTTTCACTCAGAATTTTGAAGGCATTGCTCCATTATTTTCCACTCTGATTCTTGATCCTCTGTATGTAGCTTTTTTCTCTCTGAAAGCTTTTAGAATCTCTTTATCCCTGATGTTGTGAAATTTCATATGGCTAAGCCTTGTTTGAAGAGATCTTTTAAAATTTACTGTGCTGCATTGTGTGTGTTAAATTCCTGGTTTTGATATTGTACTATAATTATGTAAGATGTTATTGAGGAGAAGTGAGTGAAGGGTACACAAGACATTCCTGTACTATCTTTGTAACTTCCTGTGAATCTATAATAATTTCAAAGTTAAAAGTTAAAAAAGTGTATACATAGTGAATCATGGAAAATGGCACAGGTGGGCACTCCAAGAATCAGTCCCTCCACTGAAACAATCAATAATATAGCAAAAAATGGCAGAATCAACTTTTGTAGAACTCTGGATTCTAATCAAACACTTAAACCAACTAGGGGAGCACATAATGAATCTTAATTAATCTACCCTGCAGATTTTGGACTTGCCGGCCTCCAGAATCATGTGAGCCAATTCCTTAAAATAAATCACTCACTCTCTATGTATACACACATACACACACACACACACACACATATTCTGTTGGTTCTGTTTCTCTGGAGAACCCTGACTAACATACTATTGAAGCTAAATTGGTGTCAATTCAAACTAAGCTTTTATGAATTTAAGATGTTAATTATAATCACCAGGGTAACCAGTAAGAAAACAACTAAAAATAAATAAAGAAAAAAAAAACAAAGGGGGAATCAAAAGGGTATACTAGAAAAAAAAATCAATCAAACACAACAGAAGGCAGTGTGGAAAGAATTCAAGAACAAAAAGTTATGAAATTTATAGAAAACAAATAGCAAAATATAAGAAGTTAGTGCTTCTTTAGCAGTAATTACTTTAAAGGTAAAGAGGTAAAATTCATCAATTAAAAGACAGAGATTGGCAGAATGGATGAAAAAACATGATCCTACTATATATGTTGCGTAGAAAACACTCACTTTATATCCAAAGACACAAATAGGTTGAATGTGAAAGGATAGAAAAAGATATGCCATGCAGATAGTGCAAAAGAGAGCTGGGATGGCCATACTTATATAAGAAAAAAGTAGACTTTAACAAAAATTGTTACAAGAGACAAAAAAGGACATTATATATTGACAAGAGGGTCAATTCATCAAGAAGATAAAAGTTATAACCATATACATACCAAACTACAGAACCCCAAAATATATGAAACAAACATTAGCAGAACTGAAGGGAAAAACAACAATTCTACAGTAATAGTTGGAGACTTCAATAATGGATAGAACATCTAGACAGAACATCAGTAAGGAAATGGAGGACTTTAACAACACTATAAACTAACTTCACCTAACAGACATGTATAGAGCACTTCACCTAATAATAGCAGAATATACATTTTTCTCAAGAGCACATGGAATATTCTCCAGGATAGACCATATGTTAGGCCAAAAAACAAGTCTCAATAAATTTAAGAAGATTGAAATCATACAAAGTATCTTTTCGTGATTACAATGAAATGAAATTAGAAATCAGTAGCATAAGGAAAACTTGAAATTTCACAAATATGTGGAATTTAAAAACCATACTTCTAAAAACCAGTAAGTCGAAGAAATTACAAGTGAAATTATAGGATATTTTCAGGTGAATAAAAATGAAAACAACACATGAAAACTTATGAGATGCAGTGAGAGCAGTGCCCAGAGGGAAATTCATAATTACAAATGCCTACATTAAAAAAGAGGAAAGATGTCAAATCATTTACCGGATTTAAGGACCTAGTAAAAGAATAACAAACTAAACCCATAGATTGCAGAAGGAAAGAAATGATAAAGATTAGGGAGGATAAAATAAAGAACAGAAAAACAATAGAATTATCGAAGCTAAAAGTTGTTTCATTGAAAATCTCAATGAAATTGGCAAACCTTTAGTTTGACCAGGAAAAAAGAGGATTCAAAATAAAAAAAAATCAGAAATGAAACTGCATCACTACAGACCTTATAGAAATAAAAGGATATAAGAGATACTATGAACAATTATACACCAACAAATTAGATAACTAGGTGAGATGGACAAATTCCCAGAAACACACAAATTACCAAAACTGA